CTGAGATTTAATGAGGCTCTGCAGGTTTGTCCGTATTCTCTAATCTGGATTAACAGATGTACGACATGGTGATGATGAGCTTATTTCAAAAGTATGGAAATATGTTCCAAATGCTCTAAAACGGTTACAAAACATTTTCATTGAGCATCTAAAAGAAAATCAGCTGTGACCAAGCTGACCTGCTCAAATGCTCAAAACGTAGAAATACTTTCTTAATGGCATTTAAACCAGACCCAATTCTGGGTTGGATTGCAATAAAATATGAGTGCCAAGGTATAGTGACTATTTAGGTTAATCTGTGTGCTACACTGACATACTGTACAACCCCCCCACCCCCCCTCCAAATGAATACCACTAAGCCTCACATCACCCAACTTTCTTGTTAACATGTTCTGCATTAACCAAATGCCAAAATCTTGATTCAGAATCAGAAATCTGTTGCATTTTTTTTACTCACTTCATGTAATGTAAATAGAAAAAACCTGCTTATAAGAATTAATATAGTAAACAAAACAAAAAAAACACTGTCTATAAGTTGTGCTCTTGTTTGATCATTTAAAGGGGTTATCTTTTGGTTCATGTTCACAGCCAATGATATAATACATTCAAATTTTACACAATAAGTAAAAATAAATGGAAAACTAGCTGCTGACTTAATTGGGTTTATTCAATCATAAAAAAAAAACTTTGATCTGGATCCCTAACTGATCCTAGACAATCAAGAGAAGACCCTCTCTATAGACTGAGAATAAATGAAAAAAGCGTAAAGAAAGAAACATGTGAAGCTGGTTTACCCCCATCCATTCTATCAGGCAAACCAAATTGGAAACAAAAAAAATCTGTTTTTATTTCTATATAATTTCACAGTAAAACAAACCCAGCCTATTATGAGAGATGAACAAATGAACAAATGAGAGACTCTCTGTTTCAGCAGCTTTATATAGCAAATCAATGCCTTTCATTTAGAAAGAAACAACACAAAGATATAAACTTTCTTGAAAATAAAACACTGATTATATGTTTCTTTTCTATTTTAGCTCCTTTGTTCTAACTGTTTCCACCATAATCTCATTAAAGGATTATTACATGTATTTATGACTACAGGAGCTCATTCCTCTCAAAAGGCTGTATGTAATTAAATAATTAAGGCACAGTGAAGCCTTATATCCAAGTGTTTTTTCTTTTTAAATAATGAACACATTTATAGATGATTAAAATACTTAGAATATCTTTTTTAAGTCAGTTAAATGTTTTTTCCAATACATTTCTTTACTTATTTAAAGTAAGAAACACTTTTTACAATAAGTTTTCTTGTATTTCTATAAATATTCTTTTATACCTTTATCTTATAAATTAACCCGTCTGAATTCACCAAGGCGGCCAATGGCGGCTTGTGTACCAGACGGCTCTTTTACACAACAAGCAGGACCAGGAAACAATCAGCTGCATACCTTGCCGCGGTTGTTATTACCCTGACAACCCTGACAAAAAAAGTCAAGCGACAGACTGCGTCCCAAAATTGCAGGCTTTGGTCTTGAAGGCAGTAATTTTAAAGCTATATTTACTCTGGGGCAGTGTGCATGGCGGCCCACGTGTCTTGTAATTGGTTCTGGTACATGCGCGAATGTGAGATCCAGTTGTTATAAATACATAGGTTTCAAAGTGGGGAATTACTCTTATGTTTCCTCTGGAAAGTACACTGGGTATGTATTCTCTGGGTGGAAACGGTTTTAGGGTGACCTGTCTATGACTCCGTCTCTGGCCTTGCGTTAGCTATTAAAAGATCTAAACAGTGTGCAACAGTAAGAAAGGAAGGAACAGAGGCAAAGGGAAACTCAGATCAGGACAGCAAACCATTTGAATGGGAGAAACGAGGGGTTTTAACAGTGTTACATGTAACTGTAAAAACTGGTTGGTACACCCCATCAGATCAGGTCTTACTGAGGACTAAATATTACTTTAACTGACTTCAAGATTTGCTAGTACAAAAAAAAGAAGCAAATAAATCAAAGGATTAATAGGGAAAAATATTTGTTTCTAATCATGCAAAAATTATGCAAAAAAAGAAAACAATCAGACTTGGAACCAGATTCAACAATTTAGAGATTTTCAACTACAGTAAAGCCATGCTGAAGGTTATAAATGAGTCAACAATCCGGTGACGCAAATTCAAGTGCTGCCAAGCTGTACATCTTACGGCGACTTAAGCTGAACAACTTCTGCAAAATATCCAAAAAATCATCAATCCATGATTGTATAGCACAACCATTTCAATCAGAAAACCACATAAGCATCGCAACAATGCTGTTAGAAAGCCCTTTGACCAACAGAAGAATTTCAGGCTCTTAAATTACTCCAGATATGTGCATCTCTGTGTTCCTTTAGGAAATGGGCATGTTCAAACTTAACAGGGAAAATTGAGACGCCAATAAACAGCATTTCTGTCAGGCGAACTGGTCTGTGGAATAAAATGATCCATGATTTGTTCAGAGAAATGAAGATTAAAAACATGTTCCAGTTTGCAGGAATTTAGAAAGGACTAAACCAACAAAGACAACAATTTTAGCAAAAATAAGGCTTATTGACTATTTTAGTAGTATTTGCTGAACAGCCAGTACTACACCACTGAAGCAAGATTAACTCAAAGGACAAACTACGAATCTCAGGTACTTTGATTGTACAATCAATTAAGGTTAGACGGATATATATTTTTTGTGAGCAAGGCCTTATGTACTTCCATTTCCTAATTGATTTTTCAAATATCAAAGGTTTCAAAAATCCCAAAAAGTTAATAAAACATGTTTTTCAGAGTTATATACCAGTGCAGATTTGTTAAACTGATAAACACCAAAGCTAATGCTCATTTTAGCGCCATTAGCAAGTAAGTGTTGGAAAGTTCTTTGCACCATTTGCACTACCCCTCTGACACCGATCCGTGCAGAGTTCACACCGAGCTTGGATCAGTTCACCTTGCCAAGCTAGGTTCCTTACGTCTGTTTACACATCATGCTAGCACAGTTCCTCGCCTCCTAGTGACGATCTACTGTACTGTAATGATTTAAGGAGGAAGAAGGCAGCCTTTGGTCGCACCACTCTTTTTAAACAATTTTATAAAATGTAGTGTTGAGAAGATTTCAATTGTTGATAACAGTTCCTGTTCTTCTTCTGTTTCAAGGCGGTTGATGAGCAACTTACTGATATGCATTACCGCCAACTACTGGAAGCTGACTGTAAAGGGCAGATTATACTTCTGCAACCCCACACATCAAATGCCGCTTGCGTTTTGTCGCAAACCAGTTTTGCTGCTATGCTTCTGCAACGTCGGTCTGGAATTTCTAAGGACGCACAGCAGTTACACGCCAAAGTGCAAGGGGGACCAATTACAGCTGCTTTTTGTCTGCCCACTTCGCTTGAGGTCTGCGCGGGTTTTCCGACCGTCTGACACATAGTCAGGATTTTTTTGAGGCGCGTGACAACGGTTGCAGAACCTCTGCGCATGAACACTGCAAAAACGATCTAGAAATAAGTAAAAATGTCTTCAGTTAAGAGTATACACCCTTATTTTGAGTAGGTAAATGAGATAGTTTGCCAATGGAATGAGTAATTTTACTTTTAAAATAAGAAATTAGGTAATATGCACTTAAAATAAGACAATGCAATTGTGTTTTCTTATTTTAAGTGTAAATTGTCTTGTTGTATTGGCAAAATGTCTCTTTTACCTCCTCAATCCAAGAACAAATGCACTTATTTTAAGAAAAAATGACTTATCTAGATTTAGATTTTTTTTGCTGCGAAAAGAGACAGATTTGAAATTGCAGAGGCTATGCTTCAGAAGCATAAATTGGTCTTAAGGAGATGACGCGGTCTGCTCATGCGCTCTTTGTTATCTGAGAACCGAGCCACAACTGAACCGTGCCGAGCCCTACTGATGAACTAGCACTAGATTTAGCGCGGTTGGGTTGTGTCTGGCACGGTCCAGTTCCATTTACACTCAACAGTTACCTTGCTCGGACCACTCTCGGACATTGTTTCAAAAGGTTAGTGTAAATGGGGCTCTATTTTGCTACAGAATATAAGCAGCCAGTTTAACCAATTTAAAGCTTCTTTAATACTTCTTCAACAGAGCACTTATTTGATAGAGTTCATGTAGATCATCTAAAAGGGTAACAAAAGAACTACTTCCTTTCTATTTCAAAATAAGAGTCTCTAACACGGTCAAGCAACCCCCTTCAAGTTCAAGACTCACAACAAAAGCTTGGATGTAGTTTTAAAAAAAAAACGGACAGCGCTTTGCAAGACAGATTACACTATGACAATAGTTATTGTGCCATTCCAATACCACGAGGTTCTCATTTAACCAACACTCACTACTGATGTAAAGATGGGTCATGTTAATTAGGTAAGTCGCTTTTGAACTTTAATTTCATTAATGGTTATTGAAAGCTAGTTAAAAATGTTCCATTAGGCTCTTTGAAGAGCTGATTGATCCATGTAACCAGAAACACCCACCATCATTTAGTCAGTACATAATTAGACTAATCTGAGACGAAACACTGAAGAACCTCTACGAGAAGCAGCCAATATGGCCTAATATGAGGTATAAACAGATGCGTTTCATTCATTCATTCTGAATGGTCAGCCATCCAAACAGGACACACATCCTCTGCCTGGCACCAAACTCTGATAAGTACCAGCCAGTACCTTCACCATTTATATGACGTCCCCTTCTTCCGGTCTGACAGTCTTTATTTACCAATGGCACACGCACACAGGGCGCTCTTTGACCACCAACTGAATGTTGACCCTCTGACCAAACAGAGCTACCACTTAGTCACTATGGCAACCAGGAAGTGCAAGTTGTAAACATGGAGAGAAAGCGGCAATAAATAAACAGATGTCCTTTTAGTTTTCCATGTTAAAAAAAAAAACAGAATAGAGAAAGGGTTTACAGGAGTGTGTATTATTTTTATTTTTTTTTAATCATCCATCTCAGCTCCCACCTATTTTGTGTTGGGGTCTGTACACCCAGTTGTCATGGTCCTCATCCTCTTCTTTTTGTGGCAGGTGAAGATGAGTCCGCGAACGCGAGCGGCGGTTTGGAGGCATGCGGAGATCGTTTTGGCTGTGGAAGAAACACCTCCCCTGGTGGGCGAGCGGGGACATGCTAAGCCAGCTGAGAGCCCGTGACAGGCCTGCCGGCTTCTCCGGGTGGAAGGAAGCGGATCTTTGGTCTCCTCTCATCTTTGCTCGGAGAAACAGGTTTAGAAAGAGATCGGATGAAACCGTTTAAGATAATTATCCTCCTTAGAAACAAATCCAGTAGTTTAATGTCCGCTTTAGGAGTCCAAATGTTGAGTGGAAGCAATAAAGATCCAGGAACGTTCTAATCAGATTCCACATCAATGAGCAAACTTGTATCAGGAGGAACTTCATCAGTAAGACAGGTTGTTGTCTGAGTCCACATCACGGCTCCGATCAGGTTACACCCAACTTCCCTCACATCATCCTTTTACAAAACGGAAATGATCTTTTTTTAAACCATCCTTCCACATCTTTTGAATTACTTTTTGATTGACATTTTTTGGGCATGATTCCAAAACTTAAAGGAATAATTAGGCAATCCAGTTAGTTGGAAAAACATCCGCCCCTTTACTCGCTCATTTCATCGAAGGGGTGGAGGAAGAGATTTCCACACTTCTAGAGAATACTGTTTATCCCACAGAAATTGTTATTTACAACCGTGCATGCTTTCTGGTGCTGTCATCTCATGCTGTTGAGCTCATCAGCTGACACGCAAGCCTTCAGTGCAGCAGCAGACGGCGAGGTTAGGAGGTGTCTGTCTCCCCGGGTCTATTCCCAGCCTGATGAAGTTATTTGCATGCTCAGAGGACGGTAAAAAAAACCCCTCACATATGTTTCCCTACTTCCAAACAGAGCTCTTCAGTCTTCTTCCACTTCTGCTTGTTTTTCCCTCCTGCACCGTCGATGCTGGTAACGGTAGAAGAGGTGAACAAAGCAGGAGGGATCAGTTTAAAATAAAGAAAACAAACGACGAAATGTATAATACTCCAGGTGCTGAGAGCCGCCCAGATCTGGACCCTCAATTAGCTCATCAGCAATGCACCTGCTGCCCTCCAAAAAACACCAAAAAAGATGGGTTAAACATCAGAGCCCACTCTGCTGAGGATCTGCTGAGAACTTTGTGCTCCAGGAGAGTCAAGACTTCAAGTGCAAAGACAGCGAGGAGCTCCAGGGAGTACACCCAACCATAAAACACACTAAACTGAAACACGAGTCGGCCCGTCCCTTCTTCCTTATTCCCTGCCTCTTTCTGTTTTTCTGTGATCCCTGATCTCCGCCCCTCCTCCTCTGTTAGCCAACATGGCAACCACTCCCCACACCCTCCTTCACACCTTTTACCTTTATGTTATTCATGATCTCTAGACTCCTGATCTGTTATAGTGCTTTATTATATATTTCTGAAGCCCAAAAAAGCTTTCTATGTTTATACTCCATGTTTCAGGGATGTAAAAAGAGCAACTTAAAACTTCACAGCAGAACTGTTTTGGTAACTGACTTCAACTCCCTAATATGCAGATTGAAGCTGGAAAACCTGTGAAGATCTAGCTGAAAAATCCGCTGACATTTTGGAGAAGCAGAAACTTTCATGAGCTCATAGTTACACACAGACCCTCAGGTACAACAGCTTCTATGATGCACTACATATTTGCAAGGGAGGTGGAGTTTTCCCACCTATGTGTGAATGCAGAGGAACCATGTGACCACCAAGCTGCGTGTGTGTGTATGTACAAAAACCATGAGTTCTCTACGAAGTTTCTTTTTTTTTCATAATCTCTAATTCATTAAATCATAAAGACTTAAGGAATTGTTAATCTGTCTGTAAAATAATCTGCATCTCAATGGGGTGGATTGAGTTCCATTACTGAAAGCTGATGCTTTGTATGTCGCGGCCATGTGGTGTAAACCAACACTCCTCACACCCATCGCTCTTTTATGTTCCCAACTTGAATTTATTGGACTTTTATTTAGAAATCTGTGTTGGCAGGACACCAAGCGCTAAGGACCAAACACCGTCTTCATCCGCACTGACAAATATGGCTGTTTTCGGGACCTTTGTCCAGAGTGATGATACATGAGGACACAGTCCTTTAATATTTAACCAGGATTATTTTCTATTGAGCGGACACAAAGGGATCGGTTTGGTGTTGGAGGAAAAATAACTTACAGGTCATTATGTTGATGGAAAAATCACAGGGTTTAGACTTACAGGCATTAAAAGGGGCAGCCTTTAGAGTCTAAAAGTAAAAAATTAATGGTTAAAGATTTTAATTTCCTTTAAAGCCGAATACCCCCCAAGAGAACAAGAAAGCTGAGAAGGTCAGCATCCTAGTTTAACCCCCTACTTCATTCAGTGTCGATAATCAATATGGAAATCAATATAACAGCCGGATATTTCTGCAACAGACATCCGGTGCTTATAATATTAGCTTTAATGCTTAGAGACAAAAAGAACAAACAAACATGGTTTCTAAGGACATATGTCTACTTTACCCTGAGCTTGGTTCAATGAAAGTTGTTTAGAGCTGCACTCATACAGTGAATAATACATTATTATAAAGAAATGTATTATTACACAAATAAACTATATAATTTAGATTATTCAATATTGGTGGTGAGATTTTTCAGTAGATTAAAAATAAATGTCCTTTTAGGGTTTAGGCTTTAAAGGGTTAAAATAAGGACCAAAAAAAAAAAGAGGAGGCATTGATTAATCTTTTATAGGATATAATGTAAAGAAATAAAATCTCAGTTCCAGGGCCAATAATAAGAGAGAGATTTAAAAACATACTTCTGGTTCTTTAAGTCATTCTGCAGCAAAAATTCAGTTCATATGTTCTTCCAAAAAAAAAAAAAAAAACACTAACGCTTTAAAGAATTAAATTTTTTTTATATACTATATTTGAAGCCACCAGTTGTTTCTTTTATTATTTTTTTAGCCATGGGCGGTTCTAGACAGGGGTCAACGGGGGCCAGTGCCCCTGTTATGGCCCCTGTACTGAAGAAATAATACTTAAAAGAAATTCTAATGATGATCTGCGCTGGAAAAGACATTGCTACTGATAGGTCCTTTGGATCTATTTCATTCTTTTTCTTTACAAATTATGTTTTACTAATTACTAATGTGTTTTACTTTTACTAATTTTACTAAGTTTAAAAACAATAAGGTGATAGCTTCAGTAATATTGCGATAGGAATCCAGTTTTCATCTGCTGAATGTTTTTTTTTTAAACAAATTAAAAAAAATACTCAAATTTTTAAAGGTGAATTTATCTTTTTTTTTTTGTTCCAATTCAGATTTTATAGAACACGTTAATTTTGACTTAAATTAAGTGAAAAATATGTAAAATTCCTAAATTATGATTGTATATTGATCTCATAAGAAATAGAATTTTAATTCAACCTAATTGACTAGAAATTTCACTTCATGCAGCTCTTAATATATTTTAATCCCTTGCCCTGTTTTTTATTTCATGCTTTTCTGTGGCCCCGTGAAAACACACTGGCCCCCTCCTGGCCCCCTGGTACATTTGGTCTAGAACCGCCACTGTTTTTAGCAGCTACTAACAGTCATTGAAGAGGCTCCAAAGAGATTGTTGCACCAGAGTCATAGGTTGCACACCACTGCATTAGACACACACCGTATGTGCTTAGAAAAATATTTAAAGCACTTTACTAACGTCTAACTTAAGGATCTTTTATTAGCTTTAAAAGATTTTAGTGGCTTTAATGATTTTTCAGGCTCTTATTTTTCCCTGGCAGAATTATGTATTCAGTCCTTTTTAAGCTGATAAATTAAAAGAGCATCAATCAGAGAAGCAACCAAGAGGCTTATGGTTAATGTGGAGGAGCTAAATCATAGTCTGTAAATAAAGAGCAAGATCTCAGAAACATGAGCTAAAATGAGCTTCCTCCATAGGGTAGCTGGACTCAGCCTTAGCATCGTCATGGGGAAGGATCCAAATTAGGATGATCTGGAAAGTCAGGAAGCTTTCTGGGCACGTTCCAGCATGCCTCGCTACAAGGAGACCACAAGGCAGAGTCAGAACCTGATGGATGAACTACATTTTCCCTCTGGCTGGAGACACCTGAGGATCCCACAGAAAAAGCTGAAGAGCTCTGCAGGGGTGAGGAACAGCTTGGTGCAATGAGAACTTGAAGCTTTGCATAAACTGTCAGATCAAGGCCTCTTAAAAACAATCTCTGGGGATGAGGGATGTCTATTCGCCTCCCAGACTTATAGATATAGGATGAACAGAAAATCATATCCAGCACGAGGTAATGGGACATTAGAAGGAACCTTTTTTGATAAAAATATCATTTTAAAACTGGAAACTGTAACATTTCAGGGGTTGTATTAGTTGATTGACTTTGAAAGCTTATATTTTGTTGACTTTAAGGCTGTTAGTCATGTTCAGGTAAATGCTGTCATGTCTCCTCTGACGGGAGCATGATCGTATCAGCAGAGAAATGCAGTTATATTCAGCCTTCAGACAGTGACACATGCATCAAACATTTAGTTTCTTTTTGGCTCTTACTTCCAATATGATAAGAAAAAAGGCAGAAGGTTGATCAAAGTTACCGAATAATGAAATCTAAAGAAGTCAGAAAGAATAATAGGACATCTAAGGTAGAGTTTAAATAGCAGGAAGGTATGATTTGGTGATGTTTTCAGAAATTGTTGCACTTAAGACAAAAACAATAATTGAGATGCTGTTTTGAAATTCAGTGATTACCTGGATTATATGAGAGAATCCTGTAATTTCACCCTAAATGAAAGCCGACCTGCTAAAGTGAATAAATTATATATTAAGCTAAATAAACACCACAGAGATCAAACATATCAGCTTCTTTATTCACGCTCTTCACTCCTGTGCGACACGACACGGCGACATATGAGTGCGATGTGGCTAAAATGTAACTCAATCCGACACGAAAGGAACCACTGACACTAAATACACCCTGATCAGGCGCTCCTTTACAGGATAAATATCACTTCCTGAGCTTTATGAGTACAAAAAAAAAAGAAAAACAGCCTGCAGAAGTTCATCCACACGTCCACAGTTGTCTCATTCACATAATAGGTTTGGCTGAGCGTTGCTGCCTGGTTTAAAGTGTGAGCAAGTGTTTGTCTCTCAGCAGCAGCACGTCTCCAGAGCCAGTTAAACACAGGGGTTCAGCTGCACCACAGAGGAAACCTTTTATTACGCCTCAGCACCCCGCATTTACAGAGACACTTACATGGGAGTTTGTACTGGTGCTAGGCTGTTTTTGTCCTAAACCGCATGTGGAAACAAAAAAAAAAACACAACAACAAATACAAAAACAAAAAGATAAAATCTTTTTTTTTCACAGATGATGCAAACTTTTTGCAGCCACAACCAGCAACTTAAAATAAACTTTAAATTAACTTTAACCAAATTTTTCCATGGGTTTTATGGTTGTTTTTCCACACATCATAATTTGGTAAATCATATTAAGTAGTTTTTGTTGTTGTTCTTGAAATACAAATAATAAAAAAGCTAATCCCAAAAAAGCTTTAACACTTATTATTATAATTGGCCACAGTTTATAAACTGCTATTGCAGATACTTATTTTACATGGCAGGAATGTGCTTTACAGACAGCTGAGCGGATATATTTACACCATGTTGCATGCATGTAATTGATATGTTCGAGAATATTTTGGTTTTTCCTGCAGGTCATAAATTGCCACACAGTAAACTGTTCTATAATCAGGTGAGCTATTCTGCAACTTAAAGCCACCAGGGGCCCTGTGAGGCTTGTAGCGAAGCAACAACCCTCTGATGGCAAGTGTGAGGGCGCTAGCTGGGCCGTTTCCGATATACACATATACATACATACATACATATATACATGTGTATATATACATATATACATATTCATATATATAAATATACACACACACACACATAAATGTATATTTATATATATACATACATACATACACATATATACTGTACATACATACATACATACATACGCATATACATACATACATACATACATACATACATACATACATACATACATCTATATTTATACTGTACATACATACATATACATACATACGCATATACATACATACATACACATATATATATACATCTATATTTGTTGTTGTTGTTTTTTTTCCTAACTTATTTACAATAGAAATGTA